ATGCACTTTTTATGTTTAATCTTAATTCAGCTGCCAAGTTCCATGGCATATTAGGTGTCTCACTGGAGATGTGTTTGGACATGACTCTTCTTCCTGAAGCACATGAGATATCCACAAACATCACAGCCAGGTCCCACTCTTCTCCTGAATCTCATTTCAAGTTATTCTGTTTTCGTCTCTGACTTCTTTTCCTTCTTTGAGCCATTTCTCCCAGTAGAAGCAAAAATAGCAGAAAGCTCAATGGTGATTAATTCTGAAAGCAACAATATGAATGATTACTACTTCTTTGGACTTTTCTGTTTTTAAAATTAAGAACACAATTCACACACCGTGATATTATTATACTAGTAAATTTTGAAATGGGTTATATGTCCTACCATCATTCTAGGGAAAAAATTATTATTATTATTATTATTTCATTGTTGGTTGTGAGGCTTGAACTCAGGGCCTGGGCACTGCCCCTGAGCCTCTTTGTGCTCAAGGTTAGCATTCTACCACTTGAGCCACAGTGCCACTGCCAGATTTTGATTAGTTTATTGGGGATAAGACTCTCTTGGGGAGTTTTCTGCCCAGGCTGGCTTTGAACCGCAGTCCTCAAATCTCAGCCTCCTGAGTAGCTAGGATTACAAGCGTGAGTCATCAGCACCCAGCAAAACTTTCTTATAAAATAGTTTATGGCTAGAGAGGAATGAGAGCAGTAGTGGAAGTGAATTTGACCAAAGTATGTTATATATGTATATGCAAATAATGCAGTAAAACCTCTTTGTGCAATTAATATATGCTAATGAAAAAAACTAGCTCATAGAACAAAAGACAGACAATGAAAATAAGTCTGTAATAGTAAAAATAAGTGGTCTAAATTCACCTATTAAAGGAATTCTTCAGAGCTGATTACAGTATCTTGTGCCTCTAATCCCACCTACTCAAGACAGAGATTAGAGGACTGGGGCTCAAGGATAGCTGAGGCAAAAAGCATGAGATCTTATCAGAAAAATAACCTAAAACTAAAAGGTTTGAGGGTAGAGGGGCTGGGAAGGTGGCTCAGTGGTAGAGCGCTTGCCTTGCATGCATGAGGCCCTGGGTTCGATTCCTCAGCACCACATAAGCAAAAAGAAAAAAGCCGGAAGTGGCGCTGTGGCTCAAGTGGTAGAGCGCTAGCCTTGAGCTGAAGAGCTGAGGGACAGCACCCAGGCCCAGAGTTCAGGCCCCACGACCGGACCCAAAAAAACAAACAAAAAAAAAAAAAACATACTGCTCAGTAGCATATATTTTGCAGTTTTAATGCCTTTTCACATCGGTACATAAGGAGCTTCCTCTTTTTTTTTATGGTTCCGTGGTATTTCATTAAATAGAGGTGTCATTTATTTAACTAGATTTCTGTAGATGAGCATTTGTTTCCTGTCTTTTGTTCTAACAGTTTTTATGAGAAACTTTGCATATGTCATTTTGTATATGTCTATAAAGAAAATGATTATAAGATAAATTCATAGAAGAGGAATTACTTAGTTGATGATGTATCTATATATATCTATATATAGATATACATAGATATATATATATTAAGAATGTAGTACATAACATTTTACAGGTTGAGTTGAGGATACAAGTCAGTGGTAAATCATTTTAAAGTTCTGAGTTGAATCCTTAACAGTACCTCCCACCCCCAAATTAATATATATTGCTAAATTGCCCTTCCTAGTCATTGGACCAATTTAGTACTGGTACTTGAAGTCAAGGCCGAGGTAGTGTCCACCTCTTGAGCCATACCTTCACTTCTGACTTTTTGGTGGTTAATTGGATATAAGAGTCTCAGGGGCTTTTCTGTCTAGGCTGGCTTTCAACCTCAATCTTAAGATCTCAGCCTCCTGAGTAACTAGGATTACAGGTGTGAGCCACTGGTACCAGGCTCAATAGATTAATTTATAGTGCCATTAGCAACATAGGGAAAATGCCTATTATTCCACTTCACTGCCAAGTCAGTGTGCCTTCAGTTTAATTTTTCTTGCCAAGCTGATGGGCGAGAAAATGGTATCTCAGTAGTTTTGATTTGTACTTTGTTGATTATAAATGAAGTTAAGCATTTTATCATATGATTAAGAGCTATTTATATTCCCCACAATGATTGTCCATATCATTTGCATACTCTCCTATTGAATTGTGGTTATCACTTAATGATCTGTAGAAACATTGTGTGTGTGTGTGTGTGTGTGTGCGCGCGCGCGCGTGTGTGTGTACGTGCGCACACTTGCTGGTCCTGGGGCTTGAACTCAGGACCTGGACACTGTCCTTGAGCTTTTTGTTCAAGGCTAGCACTCTACCACTTGAGCCACAACTCTACTTCTGGCTTTTTGGTAGTTTTTTATCAGAAATAAAAGTCTCAACAGGCACTGGTGGCTCATGCCTGTAATCCTAGCTATTCAGGAGGCTGAGATCTAAGGATCTTGGATCAAAGCCAGCCCAGCAGGAAAGTCCATGAGATTCTTATCTCCAGTTAACACCAGAAAATCAGAAAGTGATGCTGTGGCTCAAATGGTAGAGTGCTCTCCTTGAGCTGAAGAGCTCAGCGACACTGCCTAGGCCCAGAGTTCAAACCCCATGACCAACACAAAATAAGTCTCAGGGCTGGGAAGGTGGCTTAGTGATAGAGCGCTTGCCTTGCATGCATGAGGGCCCTGGGTTCAATTCTTCAGCACCACATAAGCAGAAAAAAAAAAGCCGGAAGTGGTGCTATGGCTCAAGTGGTAGCGCGCTAACCTTGAGCTAAAGAGCTGAGGGACAGCACCTAGGCCCAGAGTTCAGGCCCCATGACCGGACCCAAGAAAAAAACCCAAAAAACAAAAAATAAGTCTCATGGAATTTCCTGTTGGCTTCAAACTACAGTCCTTAGATTTCAGCCTCCTGAGTTACTAGGATTATAGGCATAAGCCACAGGGGCTTGGCTAGAAACTTTTAATAAAGTAATTAACGAAGGCTGGGAAGATGGCTCTGTGGTAGAGTTCTTGCTTTGCATGCATGAGGCCCTGGGTTCAATTCCTCAGCACCACAAAAACAGAAAAAGCTGGAAGTGGCACTGCGGCTCAAATGGTAGAGTGCTAGCCTTGAGCTGAAGAGCTGAGGAACAGTGCCCAGGCCCATAGTTCAAGCCCTCCAATCAACAAAAAAATAAAATAAAATAAACATAAAGTAATTAACTGTTTGCCTATAAGATGAGCTACATTTTTGTTTCATGTTCACTGATTTTTTTTTTTTTTGGATCCGGTTGTGGGGCCTGAACTCTGGGCCTGGGCGCTGTCCCTCATCTCTTCAGCTCAAGGCTAGCGCTCTACCACTTGAGCCACAGTGCCACTTCCGGCTTTTTTCTTTTTGCTTATATGGTGCTGAGGAATCGAACCCAGGGCCTCAGGCTTGCAAGGCAAGCGCTCTACCACTGAGCCACCTTCCCAGCCCCATGTTCACTGATTTTTGTGAAGAAATCTTGTTTTTTTATGTGTCACATGTATTACTCTCTTATGACTTTTTAAAAGCAGTACTGGGCTTGGAACTGATGGCCTCATGCTTACTAGGCAGGTACTCTACCACTTGAGCCATTCCTCCTGCCCCTTTTTTATTATAAAGGAATTCTTCCACATAATTTTTATTGGTAGTGGTGGTCATAGGGCTTGAACTTGGGGCCTGGGTGCTGTCCCTGAACACTTTCACTTAAGGCTAGTGCTCTACCACTTTGAGCCACAGTACCACTTCCCGTGTTCTGGTTGTTAATTGGTGATAAGACTCTCATGGACTTTCCCAGGCTGGCTTTGAACTGTGATCTTCAGGTCTCAGCCTCCTGCGTGGCTAGGATTACAGGCATGAGCTACCAGTGCCAGGTTTCCAACATTACTTTTAAACTATTTGTATAGTTTCCTTCATTACTATTTACTTTAGTTATTAATGTTGAGAGTTTGGTCCATTAATGGGACAGAACATAGCTCACTGGTAGAACACATACTGAGTATGAGTTCTTGGGTTCAATCTCCACAACCTTCTCCAATCCCCTCAAAAAAGTTTGTGTAGTTAATTTACAGTGAAAAGTTTTTTTGGGTTTTTTTTTTTTTTGGTCAGTTGTGGGGCTTGAACTCTGGGCCTGGGTGCTAGCTCAAGGCAAGTGCTCTACTACTTGAGCCACAGCACCACTTCCGGTTTTCCCACAGACTTTCCTGTCAGAGCGGGTTTTGAACCAAGATCCTCAGATCTTAGCCTCCTGAGTAGCTAGGATTACAGGAGTGAGCCATCGGCGCCCCATGAAAAGTTTATCATATATTGACTACTTTCCTTTTTTTCAAAGGTTACCTGTTCAAGTTCTTTCTCTGAATATCATCTTTTCTCCAATAATTGGAAATACCAAAAGAGTAAATTTTATTTAAAAGTTTGGTAGATTAATTAGGGTCCATGGTCCCTAGAGAACATCTTTCTGTGGAAGGCACTGCTGGTTTGTGAGACTATTATCTCCAGTTAACTACCAAAAAGCCAGGAATAGAGCTTGGCTCAAGTGATAGAGCACTAGCCTTGAGCAAAAAAGCTCAGGGACAATGCACAGGCTTTGGCAGTTATGTGACCCAGTACTAGCGTATAACAACAACAACAAAATCTCTAGACTCAGAGCCATAGAGACAGAGACCTTGACAGAGATACTTCTCTGAATAAAGTTCTCCATACTCATCCTCCATTGTCCTGGACTTTATTCCTCAGAGAAGAACCTAGGAAGGCTTACAGGGCAGTGCTGACAGTAGAGCTGTAACACCAGCAGGCATTGTCTGCTGCTGAACTGAAACACTAAGTAGATACTGTCTGCTATAAGGCTGTTACCCTAGTGGTCTCTGCCAGCTGCAGAGCCACAAGGATGAATGGGTTCTGCCCACTGAAAGCATTAGCAGAAGAAAATTCTGTATGAATACCGTCTTTATGATTGTTAGTTCATCCTTGCCAAATTGGATAAGAGAAAAAAATGCTTTGTTTTGCAGGGAGTTTCCCATTGCAGTCCTGACACAGAGGACATTTCACTGTGCTATGCCAATCGCTCTGCAGCCCTGTTCCGCCTGGGTCAGTATGAAGTGAGTATCAGGGTGTCATGTCTGGGGCTGCACTGGAGGACAAAGCCTTCTCTCTGCTTCTTCCTCATAACACAAATCGACTGTGGTGGGCTGAATTGGAAATACACTGATAGACACCCTAATTGTCCCTCCTTTGATTTATTTCTCCATCACAGGTGACCATGCAGAGTGTTGTTGATCCACAAGAAAAAGCTATGGCATTACCTCCTCCTCCCCTGGAGGCATGGAATATTTCCAGTGAGCGTCTAGTTCTCTGTGTTGTCTTAGCTATAGATGTTGCTAGTAAGGCTTAGAGTTCCAAGTATGTCCAGAATATCTTCTTGTTCATTTGTTTCTCTTATTTAGTATAGAGTGTTAACATGATCGCTTTCATAATGTTGCCCACCCTCAAAAAGTTGTGTGTACAGGGAAGTGAGAGGTGTCTGTGGATCCCAGGGGTTAGACTTTGTGAAATGACTTTGTTCTCGGCACATAAATGTAGTAAAGATACTGAGAACTCCACCAGAGTTTTGAAAAGAAGTGACCAAAATCAGGTTTATGTTTATGACAGATCTTTCAAGGTTGTAAAATAGAGGCCTAAAGACCAGCTTTTTTTTCTTTTTTTTTTTT